CACCTGTATAAACACATGTAAACACTTGTATATACACCTGTATAAACACATGTAAACACTTGTATATACACCTGTATAAACACATGTAAACACTTGTATAGACACCTGTATAAACACATGTAAACACTTGTATATACACCTGTATAAACACATGTAAACACTTGTATATACACCTGTATAAAAACCTGTATATACACCTCTATAAATACATGTAAACAACTGTACAAGCATCTGTACACACACCTGTAAACACCTGTATATACACTTGTATAAACACATGTAAACACTTGTATAAACAGCTGTATAAACACCTGTAAACACCTATACACACCTCAATAAATACATGTAGACAACTGTTTAAGCACCTGTACACACACTTGTAAACACCTGTATAAACACCTGTATATACACCTGTATAAACACCTGTACACACACCTGTAAACACTGGTATAAACACCTGTACACACACCTGTAAACACCTGTATAAACACATGTAAACACCTGTATAAACACTTTTAAACAACTGTATAAACACCTGTACACACGTGTAAAAACCTGTATACACACCTGTGAACACCTGTTTATACACCTGTACACAGTTGTATATACACCTGTATAAACACATGTAAACAACTGTATAAACACCTTTACACACCTGTAAACTGTGCAAACACCTGTACACACACCTGTAAACACCTGTATATACACCTGTGAACACCTGTATATACACCTGTATAAACACATGTAAACACTTTTACACACACCTGTAACCACCTGTATAAACACATTTAAACACCAGTATATACACCTGTACACACGCCTGTAAACACCTGTATAAACACCTATACACACACCTAAACACCTGTATAAACACCTATACACACACCTAAACACCTGTGCACACACACGTGTGAACACCTGTACACACCTGTGAATACCTGTATATACACATGTAAACACCTGTATATACACCTGTATAAACACATGTAGACACCTGTACACACGCTTGTATAAACACCTGTAAACACACCTGTACACAGACCTATAAACACCTGTACACACGCCTGTAAACACCTGTATAAACACCAGTACACACACCTGTACAAACCTGCATAAACACCTGTACACACCTGTATAAACACCTGTAAACACGCCTGTACACACACCTGTATAAACACCTCTACACACATCTGTAAACACACCAGTATAAACACCTGTACAAANACCTGTATAAACACCTGTAAACACGCCTGTACACACACCTGTATAAACACCTCTACACACATCTGTAAACACACCAGTATAAACACCTGTACAAAGGCAGGACCCTGATGACCCCTGAGCACCAGTCTGAAAAGTCTCCGCCCCGAGTGTCTCAGGTATGTCACCTGTCCTCTGTGTGTGTTTCAGGCTACTAACATGGTCTTCCTGGCTGTCAGTCCAGAAGACAAAGAGTCCTGGATCAACATCCTGAACACGGCCATCACCAGAGCCAAGAACCGGATCCTCGATGAGGTACACAGACGACTTTTTACAGTTTTTTATTTACCCTTATAGAACCTGACAAATACCACTGAGATCTGTTTTACAAAAGAGGCTCGGAGGCAGCCAGGTCAGAGCCAGAGTTCTTGCTGTGAGCTGTCAAGCTGCCCAACTCTGATTAGACCTTTAACAGGAAGTGATGTCACCGCAGCTCAAAGTCAGAATGGGTTCAGGTTGTCCATAGATGTGTCCATAGATTCAATGTTTTCATCAACTGTAATCAGTTTGTGTAAAATGATTCTGTTTTATTAATCAGAAAATGTATTTTACTTCAGCTTTACAGAAAGTTTTACAGCCTGATGTTGTTCTTCCTAACTGACAGCAGGAAGTGTTAAAACCCCAGTAACCTGACACCAGTCTCTGTAGTCCCACCCACAGTACTGTAACCTGACACCAGTCTCTGTAGTCCCACCCACAGTACTGTAACCTGACACCTCTCTGTAGTCCCGCCCACAGTACTGTAACCTGACACCAGTTTCTGTAGTCCCGCCCACAGTACTGTAACCTGACACCAGTCTCTGTAGTCCCGCCCACAGTGCTGTAACCTGACACCAGTCTCTGTAGTCCCGCCCACAGTGCTGTAACCTGACACCAGTCTCTGTAGTCCCGCCCACAGCTCTGTAACCTGGCACCACTCTCTGTAGTCCCTCCCACAACACTGTAACCTGACACCAGTCTCTGTAGTCCCACCCAGAGCGCTGTAACCTGACACCACTCTCTGTAGTCCCGCCCACAGCGCTGTAACCTAACACCACTATCTGTAGTCCCGCCCACAGTGCTGTAACCTAACACCAGTCTCTGCAGTCCTGCCCACAGCGCTGTAATCGGACACCACTCTCTGTAGTCCCGCCCACAGTGCTGTAACCGGACACCAGTCTCTGTAGTCCTGCCCACAGTACCGTAACCTGACACCAGTCTCTGTAGTCCCGCCCATAGTGCTGTAACCTGACACCAGTCTCTGTAGTCCCGCCCACAGTGCTGTAACCGGACACTAGTCTCTTTATTCCCGCCCACAGTGCTGTAACCTGACACCAGTCTCTGTAGTCCCGCCCACAGTGCTGTAACCTGACACCAGTCTCTGTAGTCCTGCCCACAGTGCTGTAACCTGACACCAGTCTCTGTAGTCCTGCCCACAGTGCTGTATGTAACCTGACACCAGTTTCTGTAGTCCCGCCCACCGTGCTGTAACCTGACACCAGTTTCTGTAGTCCCGCCCACAGTGCTGTAAC